ACCACCACCATTCGGCTTTTATTTATAAGGGAGATGCATCCTTTTTACCCTACAAAGCATTTCTGAATTATTTTTTATATTATGGCTTTACTGCCTTGTTAATAATTGCATGTAACACATGCCTAAATTATGTATGAAGGGTGAATAAACTTAAACTCGAACCAGACAAAATACGCTGCAACTAGAAGCAGTCCTGGAGAAAGCTGACGACATCAAGCCGAGGGGAAAATGCCGTTGGAACACCTCTGACCTTACAGCTGAACAAACTCCCTGTCGGTTGCAAACGTGTGTGATTTTAAAAGATTATATGTTGTCCTCCCTTACCCCTTTGAATCATTGTTAGTCCCGTGTGTATTTGAGTAACTGTAAATCGCTCAGAGCCAGCAGCTCTGCAGGATTGAGTGATTAATAAATTGAAAGATTATTATTATATACCATAGCGAAGCACGGGTAGCAGGCTACTTTTATGACATACCACACTTAGCATGTTTCATGCGCAAAATGCTTCACAATCTTTTATGCATTTGACCTCACAGTAATCCTGTGAAGTAGGTCACTTTTCTTTCCAGATAGGGAACTGGTGATGAGTAAACCTTACCCAAGGCCACCCAGTGACAAACAACACCAGTAAATGCTATACCTACCACTACTTCCCCCACAAAGACATTACAATTAAGAGGCAGTAGGATAATTACATAACTTGATGCCGCAGTTGCTTCTTCTGATTCATGCTAGAAGTAAACCAACAATTTGTTCCATCTTTCACAAAATGAAGAACAGTAGGGTATTTTGCTCTTCTTTTCCCCTCTAAGAGGCTCAAGTAACCTAGCCAGCAATTACATCCAATCCGTGGGAATCAGCTTTAGTGTGAAGAGGGGAGACACTATGTCATATGAAAGGACTCATCTAGAGTTGCTGAGAAAAGCAACAGTGGTGAGAACAGTACCCATTCCCACAGATGTGTACATTGGTTCAGTAAGAACTTCATATTCAGTAAGAGGTGGCAGACAATTTGTACGCAGCTCTGACAGTGCAATCCTACGCACAGTTATACCTTTTAAAGACCAATGAAGTCAATGGGTTTACAAGGGCATAACTCAGTTTAGGTTGACACTGAAAACCGCTGACACAACCCACAACCAGCCGTTCCTCCTCTAGATGACAGCTATTGATACACAGGTTGTGAATTCTACTCTATTGTTAGGAGAAACCTACAAGAAACCTGAAGACATATGTAAGACAAAGGCCTGGTTTAAGATCATACAATGGATGTCCCAGAGGTGCCTCTAATCCCTACTGATATTCTTTAATAAACTTGATAGTATCGCCTGCCAAACAGTAACAAAGACCGGGATAAAAGAACAGCAATAAAACAAAGAATGTATTGAGTATGGCACAAAAATGCAAGTGGGAAATGGGATCCATGCATTACCAACTGGCAAGCAGCAGATGAAATGAAATTGCTGGTTAATATCTAAGATAAAAAATATTTGAGTTTCTTCCATCCTTCTCCAGAAATGAGACAAATCTGAATTCACTGCAAAATAGGGTGAGCCCTAAAAGCGGTCAGAAGTTTTAAAGAGAAGTTTTTAAAAAATTAGACATCCCTAACTTAGGTGTCTCTAGAAAACACAATGGGGGTTATTTTCTAGATAAAAAATCAGCAGAGAAATGTTGAATATCTGAAATACTTTAAAACCTGACACAATCAGCCATCTGCCATATTAAAAGTTAGATCATCTATTGGATCTAGCATTTGTGTTCCTAGAGGCGGGCAATCAGAGAATAAATGCATGACAAGCTTCAAGGACTGGCTGGTGACTCCAAAAGGCAATGTAATACATCAAAAGCCTCTTTTGCAGGCTCTTGATGTACTGCACTGTCTTCTGGAGTCACCAATTAACTAAATGCAAACCAGATAACTCTCATTCATTTCAATACAGCTTGTAGGGGAAAGGTTTGGGGGTTGACCAAAACATCTAATCTAAACTGCAGATCTTCAAACTCCTGTTCCATGTTTTTTCCCTTATCAGGGAAGCTTAATTCTTCAGCTCATAGAAACTCTCCGATCTGCCTAGTAAATACAACAGCCCTTGCTCATAAATGGCACATTTCACTGTCACTTTAAAAAGTCTAAATTTATTATGTTACATCATTGTTCCAATACACATGTAGAATTTGAATGTGTCTTCCATGTTCCAGTCATCTGCAAGCAGCATATTTTAACGATTCATTAAATAACTTGAAAAACACTTAAATAAAAAGATGAATGAAAATGCTGGTAAAAAGAGTCGTATTTTATGACTCCACAACTACACTGTGCAGGTATAGAGTTTGGCACTGGGCTTGAAATTTAGTAATATGCAAATCTCAGCTTTCATGTTTAAAAATACATGCTTCTAGTATTTAAGCCAGCTGAAGAGAGCCTTGAAATATCTGGGCAATGCATAGTGAAATCTCAGAAAAACAGGGTAAAGTGGGTAGGATCAGGACTGCTAGTGTTCAGAAGGGAGTCCACCTGGGTGGCAACAGTATGAAGAAGATGACAGGATGGCAGGATGATGCAGACCCTCAAGACAGCGGAGGACTTTCAGAGCCTCCTCTGAGATTCCCATTCTGGACAGGACAGATTAGTAGCAATCAGGGGACTGGTCCACCAACCGTACTCCACCAACACAAAGACATGGTTGTCAAATAATGCAAACATTTATTGAATTGTTTTGAATACAAAACTGGGGTTGCCAAATCTCTTCTCTAAGCAAGTCACAGACAGCTGCCATGACAGGTGCAGTTGTGCTGGTCAAACCACTGTCTTGTTGTTTGTCTCGTTGCAGGTATCACTTGTGGACAGCACTGCACTGTATGGTCCTTCCTGGTCTCCAGCTATTGGAGGGCTGTCTGTAAAGAGTCAAAAGAGACACAGGGACAGTATGTTACAGCAATATGCTCATGCACTCTTTGTAAATTACAGATTTGAGAAGCCCTCTCCAGATGCTGACAGTCCCACACTTTGATGCCCACCTGCTGAAAGAGTCAGTATAGGCTGTGGACTAATTCTTACCCATCCCCTGTAAGGAGTTGCAGGAGACTTCTAGCAGAGTCTGTTCAGGATGCTCTGTGGACTCTGATCTTACAAGGAAAAACGGGTTCTGAGTATATGACTAACTGCTGCAGTGGCTGGAGTGGAGTGGCTGGTGTTCACCCAGGAATCTGGGTGTGTTCCCGTTTCCTCAAACTGCATGGTTTTCTTAACAGAACATTGCAGTGGCACCACAATGATGTTACACCAGCATATCTCCACTGTGACATCCTTTATGCACTGAGCATATGTATCCTGTGGCAAATGCTGAGGGAAGAAGTTTTGGTAGACCCATACATAATTGTGACATAATGGGGGAGGGGGGAGAGAGACACAGGAGATATTTGCAACATAGTCAGCCTGAGGTATGGAAACTTGCCATCCCCTTCATTGCTTACCTGTGTGGAGAGCACTGTCCTTGGAACCCCCAGCTGGAAGAGTGGAGTAGATATTACTATTGGGAGTGTGTGTCCTGAGGTAGAATTCCTGTAAAGGTTCTGAGAAGACAAATGTTATCAATGTGCTCTTCATATGGTCATTATCAGCCTTAGTGGTTTGTGCAAAATGCCTTTTCTCTGAAGTTCCCATCACTAAAGTTCCCACTTCTGTGTCTTAAGTATACCCAATATGACACCACCATGTGCTGTGCTATCTGAGATATGGGTGTCTTGGTTGGAGGTAACATACTACTACTATGTGACTGGATGCAGGGTAGGTCGAAAGCTATGTTGTGGCTCTGTAGGCAGGAGGAAGGCAGTTATATTTTCCTCACACTGAGTTCAATGGCTTTATTTAGACTAGCTCTGTCACCAGTGTAATTTTAAAAATGGTGTTGAGATTGGAACCCTGAGCTGAGAGAGCTAGAGACTAAAACAGCTCCTCCCCATACATGCCTCTGACACCACCCATCTCCAGCCACTAAGCCTGCTGTGTAGCACCAGAGCTGGAGTCATACCAGCATGGCATTAAGCTGCTGACAAAGTTGTAATATGCTGGTCTGTTGTCAGGATAATGCTGGTTGAGGGGCTTAAATGCCATTCTAAGCCAATCCAGCGGGCCCTTAGAATCACACCCTTAAATCCCTCCATTTAATTTACTAGTGCAGAGTAGAAGCGGGTTCTGGGTGGCTACGGGCTTAGGTTTACGTTCTGCCTGCCAGAGGCCTGGTGGGTATCTCAGTGGCTGGTGGTGAGATCTCCCTCACTAGTTCTGGCAAGGTAGCCTCTGGCACTGCTGGAACATTGTCAGCAGGCACCTCTATAGTGCTGGGCTCTCTCTGGTCCCTCTCAGCCACTGGCTTTGGCTCCTTGGGTTCTTCCCCTGAAGACTCTGAATCACTGGGTTAGTCAGAGGGGGTCATGACAGGAAATTTCTGAATATAGTGATGTCATTTTCAAATGTTTGGTACCACTAGATGTTATCAGAGAGAAGGGGAAAATGAGATACTTGGGCTGCGGTCACACGGAGCATTAGCCACGCTACAGAGACGGAAGATAGGTGGATTTTCCGGGCTCGATCACAGTGCCACATCTGGGAAGCGTAGAGCTCCCGTGGCGAACCCGAGGCTTCCCACCGAAGATGCGGGGTAAAAAATTAGTACTTCTGAGGTACTAGCTTCCGGAAACCGCAGGGCAAGGGTGGGCGCCTGATTGCATTTCCAGTGGTAGGTCATGGCATCCGGCACCCGCCCATGTCCCGTCGCTAAAAGGTTTTTTCCCCCCAAGTCTCCACGGGATGCGCACAAGCACCCAATGGCGCATGCGCAGACTTCAGCCCCCTCGTCTTTTCCGTACCCCCCCTCCTGACTCGGCCTGCTCGAGAGGAACTCTCTGCACCGGGCGGCAGAGGGGGAGGTCCAGGGGGGCATGGCGGGAGGGCGGCCCAGCTGAAGCTCCTCCTGGAGGGGACCGGACGGAGGACACAGTTTGCATTCCTCTGCAGCCCTGGAAGGGGTTAAACCCATGGAGCCTTTTGCTGGAGAGGCCGCTTCTTTGCCACACCGCAGGATTGTCCTGTGATCGGCACCTCCCCCCTAACCACAGGACCTCGACGGGACCTCTACAGGACGTCTGATCGCACAGCCGCACGTTATTTTGCTCCGGGGCAAACAGCCACGCTTCCCCCCCGCATTTTCCTGCCGGTGTGACCGGGGCCCCTGTTGTTCTTTTCAACAGTGGTCATGGATATTGCTTGCACATCCTGTTGGTAACCACAGTGAATGAAATCCACATCCACACTATTTTGGGGTTCTCTCACTAGAACAAGGGTTCCCAATCTTGTTGACCCTGTGAGCGCTTTTGGGATTTTGAGAACACTTAATGGATGCTACCACAAAATGGCTGCCCCAGGGAGTGCACATAACCATGAAATGGCTGCCACGAAGGTTTGAGTTAATAAAAATGTTAGGAGATTCGAAACCAATTATCATCCAGAAATGGAGTAGCAGTTTTTTAATGGGTGCTTCCAAAAGACACAAAGGTGATGCCATCCGGACTGTTTGGGTGCACTTCCTGTTCCAATGAGACGAAGAAAAGACATGATTGGATTGTTGCTTTAAGGAAGCACGAAGTGGGTACCAGGAAACATACAGGTGATGGTGCCCTTTGGATACCATGACTCTAGAACTTCTATACAGTTATATAGACAAAAGTGTTTGTAGTCTCTGACTGCATGTCAGTTTTGGTATTTGGAAAAGAATTTGGACACCTGATCATTTCACCTTTATTTTTTGAATTTTAAGAGTAAATTTCTATCTTTTATTGTAGTAAGAACACAATAAAGCATATAGACAGGATCTGCAAAAGGTTTCAGCCCAGAATGGAAAAAGTGTTTTGCCATTCACAGCTACCAGATAGTCTCATTTCTTTTAGTCACATTTCCACATAGAGACTTAAATGGGGCTAATTTACTTAATGGTCTTACTGAGACTTGTTTCCAAGTAAACTTACAATTCAATTGGGCTTAAAGTCACCTACCAGTGTGACTTATAAAAAAAAAAAAAAACACGTAAAATGTTCAAATTCTGGGAGGAAAAGGCAAATACTGGTTCAAAATGAAATGTGCTGCTTCAAACAGATTGACAGACACAATGATTTACAGACTATATTCTGAGTGCAGAATTTGGGTATTTCTAAGCCAAATAACGAGGTTCAGTACCCACACTTCACATTTACAAAACTTTCAAGAATCATAAACATGAATCTGCTGAAGATATTTTTATTGTCACTTCTCTGGAACTGGAGATGTCTTTTCAGGAATTCCCATCCCATATGTCAATCATATTACTTTCAAAGATCTCAACATCTCTGCTCAAAACCCTGGACAAAGGGGAGGGGGGCCAAAAAGATGAACAAGCTTATAAAACACATTTCTAGATATCGGCTTCCCCAGAGCTGCAAGCTTGGAAGCAGAACAGGAAGTATATTTTGAATGAAATGTTGGTTATAGTGGAGATTTGAAACTATCACCTGTGTTCTGGTGCGATCGCACTAGTACAGTTGGACTGGCAGCAACCTGTGGGGATACAGACAGATAGCTGGATTGCAAGAATAAAGGGCTGCCAGGACGGCAGTGTGCTCACCATCCAGAAACAGTCTACAATTGCTGGGGGAAAGCTAGCCTCTCAAAATGGCTTAACTGCTCCAAGGTGCAGATGAGGCAGCTCTCCCATTTCACAAGGACATTTGCTTCCCTTATTTCCCAGGCCCTCCCTCCTTTTTCCCTGCACCTGCATGAATGATGGATGGCCTTGTCCCCATTCACAGTTCTAGCCAACACGCCTGGAAAGCAGCAGGGAAAGCTTCAGCTAGAGCATTAGCAGCAGACTGGAAAGGAATAGAAATCAAACAACCTTGCAGAGAGGTATTTTACAGTATGCATCTGATAAATAAACAAACCACATCACCAGACCACACCCTTTTAGGGTTCCCAAATCCCCCCGGGGGGGCGGATTTCCCCCCGCTTTCAAGGCCCGATTCCCACTCCCGCGGAATCGGGGCCCGGGGGAAACCCCACCCCCGTGTGCGCGCCACCCAGAAGTGACGTCGCACACTGGGGGCGGGGCCACGCCATTTGAGAGGAAAACTCTTTGTTTTCCCCTCAAATGGCATGGCCCTGCCCCCAGCGTGCGACGTCACTTCCGGGTGACGCACACGCGGCGCGTGCGTGCGCTACACGCACACGCACGATTTAGACGCTGGCCGGGAGCCCCCCGCTCCCGGCCAAAATCCATTTGGCAACCCTACACCCTTTACATCTAGCTCCTTTACCCCAAATCTGAAGCTGTGAGGAAACAGCCATTCAGAAGCATTGAGCAAGGGCAGGAAAGGAAAAGGGGAAATGAAGCAAAACATTTCCTGATTATTAAGATGACTCTTAGCTATGTCCATTCGTCTCAAAATTCCATACACTGTCAACTCAGGCCTTTTATATGGAACAACTGATTGAGTAAATATTTTTGGAAGTATTTCCCTCTGATTTTCAATACAATATCCTAGACTTTCAGAGATATCATAAGGGTCCTTCAAGAACAGAAACTTTGACAAGGATAGAGATGATGACAGTCTTTGAGAAAAGGAAATCTTTTTAGTCGTGTCTGTGCCACACTCCTCGCAGCATTATTTTAAAGTGATTCTGCGACTTCTTTCCGCAGTGACAGTGGGCTGGTTCACATGTAATGAGAAACTATAGCTTATTTTAACTGTGGTAAATTAGTTAAACTAGGATTAGGCCCAGAGGTCATTTCGGGGGGGATCGTGGGGGATCTCAGTTCCCTCGGGTAAGGTACGGGGGGGCACATGACGAAGCCCCGCCCCCAGCTTCCAGCCGCCCCGCTTCCGGCCCTCATTCAGCCTGGAGGAGGCAGGAGAAGAGGGAGGGTAAGTTGCTTCCTCCCTGCCTCTCCCCACCCCTGCCTGCCTGGGGCCAGGGAGGGCCTTCGCGGGGCTTCCTTGCACTCCCGCCGGCCTTGCAGGTCCACCGCCGTGCCCCTCATGGGGCTCGGCAGTGGAGCTGCAAGGCCGGCAGCGGCCGGGACCGTTGGGGGCGGAGTGTGTGGCCTAATGACACACTTCCGGTGATGTCAGGGGGTGTGGCATATGCTAATGAGTTATGCTAATGAGTTCCCCTAGCTCTTTTTCTACGAAACGACCCCTGATTAGGCTTATGTGCGATTGCTGAATACTGGATGGTCTTGACAAATCCTGGCTTTAGTGCTGTTGTTATTTCCCCTGCCTCCCTACAAAAGGCCCCAGCAGCTATCCCAGCCTGCCTTGCTTACCACTGCCCACCAACTAAACAAGTGCAGAGGTAGTTGCTCTCAGGAAGCTTTGGCTGCTGTTGTAATTTCAAGTCAGCTGCCAAGCCATGCCTCCCCTTCTCTGAGGCTAGCCAAGGAAGCTGAAAGGCTTTCACATTAACTCTTTCCTCAACAAACCTCCAGGGAAATAAATTCCTGTTGCCGATTCCAATGGAACCCTACACGCAAATTCAACAACAC